AGCAGGCGGAGGACGTGGAGGAGCTTCTAGAGCGAATGCGGACAGAGTTCAGGGAGCTACAGGTACGAGTCTGGTGGTGTTGGATTAGAGGTGTTTTCTTCGTGTCACGTAAGGTCTTAGGGTGGTGTAAGATACACCCACCCAACATTTATCTACAACGTAGCAGGATCGCGGTGACGAAAGCGAACATGTACCGATTCTGGTTAAAGTCAATCGAAAGATACCCTGCGGATCGGGTTCTCCTTATCACTGCCAGCCCACGGAATGTACCTTTTCAACTGGGAGCCCATTGGGGCCAGGACGGGTGAATCGATAAGGGTGTCACAGACCTTTCGTAAGATCGACTCCAAGAGATGCTCTCAGGATTGACACTCATTTGTGTTCATGGGAAAATGTCCAAGTCAAGAGAAAAATGTGCGCACAAGGAGATTCGAACAAGTGTCCCAGACGACACCATATGCGAAGGTGTACCGATTCTGGTAAAAGTCAATCGACGGATGCCCTGTGAATCGTGTCCTACTTAACACGAACCCCTGGGTGTTGGCGGCGTCGTAACAATTCGTGGTCTATGGTTTAGTGTCGCAAGACAAGTAACCTCCAAGAACCCCTCGGACCCCCTCCACCCGTATGCTCGTTCCCATACGTTTTACAGGAAGAGTACGAGGTAGAGCTGGAGGCGGTGGAAGAAGTATTTTTGCAGGAGAGAGAAGGGCTGCTTGCAGCGAACAAGGTGAGGTGAGGGTTCTCTCTCTCTTTTTCTCGCTTGGGTTGCTCGTGGAGGGAGCAGACTCGCGTTTCGGGTTACGCTTTCACATTGTCTGTCAGGATATGGGAGACATTTTTTCTGCTAGACACGCATGCGCACAATCTTTGTCACCGATGGAAGCAGTACACCGGGGTGCTTGTCGTTGTTGGATCATGGGCTACGGTTCCTCTTTGGTTGGGATTAAGCGAGGCTACAGGTATGGTTTCGGATGACACTCTTCCAGAGCCTTCGATACCGTGGTCTGTTTGAGTTTGCACGTTGCAAGCATCGCTAAGTATCTGCGTTACCTGCTACACCACCGATATCAACAACAACGACAACGGCGGTGGACGCCGCGGTGGTGGCAACGGCGAACAGGCAGAAGTGGACGGCCTGTTCGAGAAACGAAGGGAAATGGAGCTCTCCTATATGGAGAGCAAGCAGAAGAGGCAGGAGCAGTACCAGGCAGAGATCGAGGCCCTCCTCACGAGAGACGGGGAGGAACACACCAAGCTCAAGATCAAGCTGGAAACCGACATTCAGGTGTGCTGGGACTATCGGTATGCGCCTGCCCATATGCATGTATAGGTGTGTTTGTCGCGAAGTAGAAGGGTCTATTGTAGTCGAAGGGTGGGAACTAACCGACAATGTCCCCGTACTACTGTGACCGGTGTGTTCGTGAAAACGTGTTAACTCGGCAGAAAGCAAAGCTGTCGGTGTGCGTGGGTGCAACTCTTGAAACAGAGCTCCACCCGAACGCAACTCGTTAAACAGCTGCTGTTGAACAGAGAAATCAGAGACTGAAATAGGCCTCCTCGACAAACAGAGTTAGGTAGAACATACACCCACCGCGCATCGTTCTGCGTGCCCCCCCCCAGACACACACATCACCCCTCGCCGCCGCCCCCCACTACAACCGATTGGAGCAGGAAATTCTTAGCCTCAGGTATTTTGTTTTTGAGGTGCATGTACATTAAGAAACATGTGAAAATGCGCAACTTTCGCCGTTTTCCTCGTCCCCAACCCCACGGAGAGCAGACTCTCGAGCAGCAGCTGGAGGAGATGCGGGCCACGTACCAGCTCAACACCGAGAAGCTCGAGTACAACTACCGCGTCCTCACGGAGAGGGACATGGAGAACAGCGCCACTCTCTCTCACCAGAAACGCAAGCTCACGAAGCTCAAAGACGCTCTCTCGGGCCTCGTGCAGGTGGGGAGGAATTTGTACGCGTGTTCTCCGGAGGGGGGGGGGGGGGCATTTCCGGAAGGGGGGGGATACTCGTGAAGCGCATGCCGCAGTCGGCAGACCTTGCCATCCCTACATTGCCGGAACTAAGCGATATGCCGGGGTTTTGCCGGCGCAGGCTATGTTTCACAAGGATGGACCAGAATCTGGTCATCATCCTTGGGGAGGGGGGCAGTACTCATGTTTTGCGTTAGTTTTGAACGTTGACCAGGAGGGGGTGTTTTGGTGCCGATATTTTCGGTTCTTGGTGTTTCTTGGGAAACAAACAAAGAGGTTTCCCATGAACATGTTGCCAGCAATGGAGTATAACTCGAAACGTGCGGACTGAGGACGTGGGGCTCGGGCCACTTGTCCCGCCCGAGAAGCTACCAACCTCGCCAGGCAGATTTGGGGGGTTTTCGGGCTTTGCGTGATGCGAGCAGCGGAAGAGAAGTGTTTTTGGCATGGTAGAGGAAGGGGGGATTGGCACGATCGTGTTCGTGTTTTCGTCTTTGAGCGTATATCTGCTGACCTCCCAGCTCTTGTTCAGAGCTAATACTACCGACAAGCACACGGCGACAGTGTAGGGCCTTGACGCACACACCCATTTTTGATATCAAGATTGGTTTGTCAACCTCTCCAAGCCGAGGAGCCAGGCGCATTGTGTGCGCCAAACATCCCCCCCCCCCCGCTCAATTAGCTGTCCCCCGGACGAACGTAGAATTGTTTGGATGCTTCAGCGAAGGCCATCGATCTCTATCCGAAGTGACGTCCCGGGAGTCAATTGTTGTAGACCCGGGATAGACCCGAGAAAACGGGTGTATTAAAACGATCTCTACACATGGTTCCATACACCCGTTTTCTCTTCCCCGCCGCTTACGGGAAAAAAACAATCTGGAAAGGTACACAACCATCGGCCCTTTTTCTATTTTCCTTTTCTTTCGGTGGCTACCTCCTTGTCTGCTTCTCTCTACAAGCGCTACCAAGAGACCGACACCCGCGATAAGAAGCGAAACGAGGAGCTGACGGAGGAGTTCCGCCGCATCACGAAGCAGTATAACGACATGCAGGCAAAGTTCCGGCACTTCGAGATCTCGGACAACAATCGATACGAGCAGGTGTGGCGCTTTCTTCTCCTGTAATTGTTGTTGTTGTTGTTACCGCCGCGCCGCCGCCGCTGCTGTTGCTGTCGTTGTTGCTGTCGTTGTTGTTGATTCGGGTGTCGATCGTGGTAGCGGTGGTGTCCGGTGTGTAATTACTATCGCCTGCGTTTGTGTCGAACGATGTTTCGAGACAATTTATTTGCTTCAGTTACTTTTGTACTCTGCCGGAAAGGAGAGAAGCCTTGCCTCATCTACAACCACACAATCACAAAAGAACGGCAGATAACTACCTGCACATGATGGAGACGATGACATCGACAGGGTTGTCCCAAGTTCATCCCCCGCCAAGTCGAACCAGAACATGTTCCGACAACCTGCATTTCAAGCATCCACATGCACGCGCGCGAACACAGGCCCAACATGTTCTCTTTCGCTGCTGCCCAGCTCGTGTAGAAACAGAGAAGATCCCCAAGCCGCCGCACTGTTTGTTTTGTCCTGGTTTCTCTTTTTCAATGTTCCCGTCCATTTTCGTCGCTGGTAGTAGGCGGGGGTGTCATCCAGCAGTTGTAGGTTTCCGAGGTTCCCGAAATACGGACGGACAGCACATGACGAGACACATGTCCTCGTGTAGCTTGCAGCGTAGGCGCGACGTTGTCTGAAGCCTAGGCAGGACAACTCGGGACGTGCGTGTGCGTGTTTATTGTTTGAACGCCTCCAACAGAGAGTCAACCGTGCGGCATAGATAACACTGGTTCGTTGTCGATTCGTAGAGAATTATTTACGCAGTTATATGCTGCAGTTCCAAGTGCTTCACACTCCCCTCGCTGTCTTATCTTACAATGCCAGGTGTGGTCCATGCACCGCGAGGAAGTGCTAGAGGCCATCAACAAGGTCCTACAGGTGCGTTCATTCTCCGAAACGAGCCGTGACGTGAGTAACACTAGTATATTTCTACTACTCTGTCTAGCTCAACATGTTTGTTTCACCTAGGCGCCACCGTGCCCCCTGTCCCTGCGGACACGCTCCGTCGCATAACGTTATAGCCGAACCAACACGAGTAGTTTTCACGATCCATTTTTTCTTTTGTCTGATCAAGCCCGCAAGTCTTCCGAGCAATCTGTCGCAGATTGCAATGACGCTGCTTGCAGAACTAATAAGCATACACACACGCCGTCGTCCCTCCCTTGTCGGGGGAACCCGCTGACTGCAAAACGTACCCGTGTGTGTTTTCCTGCTATAAGACTGGCGTCTGTACATTGGTCCAGCCGGATACATACAACAGCGAGGGGTAGTATTGGGAGCGATGCAGTGCCGCAAGTGTTGTCTATAATCAATACTTCCCATAAAAGGAAAACACACACACACACACACAAAATTTCAGGCGGACGAGATCATCCACCAGCAGCAGCTAGGCTGGGAATGGAAACCCCCCAACATGGACCTGCTGGCCGAGCTCGACATTAACAGCGTCGCTGCCGCCAAGGCCGGGGGGGGTGTCGGGGCAGTGGGGGGGGTGGGGGGCGGAGGAGGAGGAGGAGGCAGCCAATCAGCGAGCGCGGTAGTCGCGCAGGCGGGGGGGGCGGGAGATGGGGAGGGGGAAGACGAGGTGACGGATGCATTCATATTGATGGGGGCTTTGGTGTTTTTGGTGGTGGTTACGTCAGTGTGGTGGTAATTTGGACGGTTGCAACATCAACCAAAGGTAGGCATGCTCGTGTGCAATCACATGTCTACTGGGTAATATAGGGGGGCCTCGGGGAGAGGAATGGTTCGGCGTGACCTGCCGTAGTCGATGAACAAGAGAGACCTGATTGGTGTGGAGGTTGTATTGTTAGGAGAAGTTGGGAGGGGGTTACAGTAGGTCCTTCCTTGCCTGATGAAGAAAACGCGTGGTGCATCCCTATCGCACGAGGAAGAATTCATAGTTGTGGTCGCAAGGTAAGTGCAAGCTTGCTAGGAACAACCAACCCATCGTGTTAAGAAACATGTGACCTGGTTGGGGGAGTAGCGAAGCGAAAGTAGAAGTGACGAACTTTGCCGTCTTCGTAACAATCAAGCGCGTGATACATCAAGCAAGCACCGAGGACAACGGCGTAGGATATGGCGCACAACTTTGTGGTGAAGTGCACAGCAGAAAGAAGTGGGAAGGCGCTATGTGGATGTATCGAATGGTGGCCATGGCAGCACGACGCAAGAGGTTTTGGATTCACAACTTGACTACAGCAGCAATAGAGCGAGAACATCACGCATGAGGCATCTGCCACATGACACGAAAACACATACCCGGCGTACACGAAAACCCTTACGCAACGTGGAGCGTAACCTTTTACGCGAGCACCACGAGTTTTGGCAGAGTGGAACGCTTGGTGCACGGCGGATGAGTAACAAATGTGACGAATACGAACAGCAACATAAGCATGATGGCATCACGCATGGCGCAATTTTGTTGAACAGGATGATCCCAACCGGCCGGGTCAAGTGGTAACGAAGGTCTCGGGGACGCGGGTGAAGGCAGTGCTGAGGCTTCTCTCGCAAGAGGCAGGGTTTCTAGTCGACCCAGGCGTTAAGGTCAGCCACGACGGGGGGGGGGGGGGGGGGG